GGGAGGGCGGAGGGGGCAGACGCACCAGGTACGTGCTCATCAGCGAACTTGGTGGAGACAATGTAAACGCCAGGCACAGTGGGGAAGTAGGAGACCTTGCAAGTGCCATCTTCCAGGTCCTCTGTCTGGATGTCCACTTTGCTGGGACCTTCCACTGCCAAGGATATGCCACCATAACCTGCAACACAGAGGCCCACGGCTGACGGCACCACAACTCACTGGGGAGGGGGAACCCGACACACGCAGAAAGAACGGAAATTCAAACTGTTTTGTTTCCAGACGGCAGGAAGACAGAAATGGCAGGCAGCCCCTACTGGAGAGCTCCAGGCAGAGGAGCAAGTGAAAGGCTCTGAGAAATCCTGTAACGAAAAACCCTGCTGAGCGTGGCTCTGACCACAGAACTCTTCTCTCAAGGATATCTATTAATATCCCACGGAGCACCTGTCCTACAGAACCTGCTGGGGAAGACGCTCTGGCCACATGCCTCCGAGAATGGCATGTATTAATCACCAGCTGCAGATCTGAGAATGTCAATTTCTAAACAGCCCCCAGGTACCTCCAATGTCCAACCAGGGAGCCACTAAGGGAGCAGATCCAAAGGTTTAACAACCTGAAGAATCAACAGGGAGCACCAGCCCACCAGGACCAGAAGTTCTCTAGCCCTCTCCCCTGGGACTGGGACTTTGTCCGGAAGCCACCAGTATGGCCGTGACTCAAGAAGGCAGAAGACAAAGATACGGCCCACGTGGCATAGTCCGAAGAGGCCAAACCCAATTCAGACCATTTTAAAGAGGAAACAGGAAGAGATTCCACGTTTCCACGAAAGCACGGCTCAGCTGACATGATCCTGGCCGGCTGGCCCAACCTCCTTTGCTTGGGATGAGCCCAGGAGGTCCTGGAAAGCGGCAGATGGTAGTGATAGTACCCATCATGACAGAGAGATCTGTGACTTGTTTTTGGCTCTGGATTCAAATGCCAGGAGCAGACGGGCTATTTACTCCTGTTAGTCTCCGTTTCTCCAGCTCGAAATGCAGATAATACCTACTTCACTGGGGGTTGTGGGGCCTAAATACTGATGCAGGTGCAAGGACCTACAGCTTGAAGGATGCTCAGAGAGAAAGGGGAAGTGGTAGGATGAAAAGAGAGCAGCCTGAGCCAAAAGAAGACCATTCCCTCGAGCCCTTCCCCAGGAGTATCTCCACATACCTGCATCCCTTGTGTCCACAATGAATTCAGACATCTCAAAAGTACGGCCCTCTGACAGGCCACGGCCATAGACTTTGGCTCTGCGAGCGTCACCGATCTCGGACTGGACCACCATGATGGACACGGGGCTGTTGGCCACGTGGTTGCCGTTCTTCTTGATGCTGACCAGGTGTTCGCCCACCTCCCGGGGGATGAAGGAGATGCCTGCACCGGAGCACCGATTGGGGTTGGTAAGGTTGGGCGACAGGATGAAAGAGAGGAAGCGGGAGGGAGACACACTTGCAGGAACAGAAATAGGACTTCCTTCCTGACTGCCCAGCAGCCCAGAGCATCCAAGAAGATGGTCAACATTGCGAGGCAGAAACACACTCGGGCTCTTATCACGTGTGAGCCAGAAGGTTGATCACATCGTACTCGCGTGCGCTACCGGGTCCCCAAGGACAGGACTGGAGGAACGCCCATCTCCCCCCCCGAGCCCCGGCCAGGAAGGCAGCTCGAGCTCACCGATGTGGTTGTTGGGAAGCCTCTTGAGGAGACAGGGTTCGTCGCGGCCGGACGGCGCCTTAATGCTGGCGGTCAGGGTGCTCAGGTCCGTCTCGCTGATGTCGAGCAGGAAGTCGGCAGCAGAGCCTAGCTTCACCTGAGAGCACCGTCTGCTGTCGTCTGGGAAACATCCCCCCCACCATGCAGCTCCTGTTACGTGTGGTCTGCCCGGCTCTCTGGAGCCCCCAGTCCACATGCCGTTTACAGAAGTGCACGCGAGAATGAATTACTCCGAGGTAAGTGAAAAAGCCCGCCTGGGACAGTGAACAGATCTAACCAACGCTGAGTGCTGGCTCATGTCTGGGAACTGGCAGGAGACTTGAGTCTTCTCGGACCACTTTTTAAAGGAGCCTTTGCCAGCGGGGGGGCACGTGTCACCTGCCTGCCTTGGGCACGCCTCACGCTCCACACAGGACTGCTGACTGCTCCACACACAGGTCTGAACACCTCGGGGACAAGGACCTCGCCTTTCGTATCTCCTTTATAACCCACTGACAGCGCGGTATGAACACAGCGAGCACAACAGACACTGGGAGTGTGGGCTTTGAATCAGGTAACCTGGATCTGAGTCCCCGAATACCCACGTATGAATCTGGCTAAGGCACTATCTCACCCAGCGTCAGGTTTTCCATCCATGAAATGGAGATGAAATCTATCTAGTAGTGATGCTGAAGGGCATCTTTACGTCATTCAGGTAATATCTAAATGCTTCTGAGGGCCTGCTATTGGCATGCTGCAGTCAGACTGGCACAAAACAAGGGCCCTCTGAATGGTACTGCTTGCTTTCCCTTGGATTACCAGCTATTGGAGGAACTGGGCCAGCCCAAAGTTGACTTTGCACCCCAATTTCTCCCCAAGGAGTCTGCGTGAAACCTACACTTAGATGCCTAGCCTACTGCCACTGGTTTAATGGGGAGAGAGGCTGTGGGGGCAGCCATACCTCCCCCCGCAAACAAGCCAGGTAACCCTACCTGTGATCTTGGCTGTGAAGGGGCTGCCGGGGATGTGCTTGTCGTTGTACTTGACCAGAATGCTGTAGTCGCCTGGCAGGGTGGGCAAATAGGTCACTGTGCACGTCCCATCTTTGTTGTCGATGCAGCTGATTTCAGCCTTGGAGGGTCCCTCGATAGCCAAGTCTAGGCCACCTGTGGATGGGAGGAAGGTGGGAGAGCCTTTAGAGAGAGAGTGTTTCCTTGGGGCGCCGGGGTGGCTCAGTCGTTAAGCATTTGCCTTCGGCTCAGGTCATGATCCCCAAGGTCCTGGGACTGAGCCCCACATCGGGCTCCCTGCTCAGCGGGAAGCCTGCTTCTCTCTCTCCCATTTCCCCTGCTTGTGTTCCCTCTCTCACTGTGCCTCTCTCTGTCAAATAAATAAAGTCTTTAAAAATAAATAAATAAATAAATAAAATCTCTTTAAAAAGGACCACAAACTTAGAAGTCTCCGTGGTGACAAGGGGCATAGGCATAGAGTTTTATCTGGAATTGGCAGTAACTCATGTAGTCTTCTAGATACATGTACACGTGCAAAAAAGAACAAAAGCAAAAACACCATCTACCAAAAAACATGCTTAAGTTTCAGGCAAGTCACAAAAAACGTCTCATAGCATCGACCTGATTTTTAATCAGAACACAAAGGAGTTCAAAAGTTCTGCTTTGGGTGGAGACAGAGCAGCTCTACAAAGAGATTTATGAGAAAAGAGAAGACAAATGCTACCATTTAGCAGTCTTATTTTTAAAAGCTGCCCTGGAACTGTGTCCACTCAACTCTCCAAACGGACGGCCCGAAGTGCAAAACCCACATAAACCACACGGTACCTTCTCCTGCATCCTCGGTGACGATGGTGAAGGTGGCCGTTTTGTTGGCCACTCCGTACACCAGGCCTGGACCATATGCAGAAACGCTCCCACTGTTCGGGTAGTTCACATAGAACTGGAGCGGGCTTTCTGGGTTGGCAAAGAACACAAAATCAAGGGGGGATTCATTGAGGGGGGAATGCATCCCTTGGACACCTGGTGTCTTTAACATTCCCCTAACAGCGGGCAAGGGCGGTGTCTCCTATGCAGGGGCAGAAATTGAAAGGAGATTCCAGGAGAGCTGACCATGCTGGGATACCCAAGGGGTCTATTTGCGGTGCACAAGAAAAACAATCCCAAGGGTTGCTCCAGATTAGAAGGGGGCTCAAGCAGGATTGTGCAGCTCAACTTGACCAATAAGGGAGGAAACAGCTGACCATGGGGAGAAATGACTCACTACTGGACAGAACACAACTGGAGAGGTCTTTTAGGAAAGCCATTTGCTGCGCCTTTCAAAATGTAAAGCCTTCTGAAGGCCCCTAGTAATCTAAACCACAGTGGTCCTTTCTCCCCAGCCCTGTGCAAGGACTTCCATTTCCAGGGTGCTCAGATCCAAATTAGGAAAAGATTCCAGTGTCCGACAATAGGGGGCCAGTTAAATAAACATTGGTCTCCAGGCAGGTCATTAAAAATAATGAGGGAGGGGGCGCCCAGGTGGCTCAAAGTGTTTGACTCTTGATTTCAGCTCAGGTCATGATCTCAGGGTTGGGAGATCGAGCCCTGTGTTCGGCTCCATGTCGAGTGTGGAGCCTGCTTGAGATTCTCTCTCTCCCTCTCCCCCCGCCCCTCCCCCCCTTGCTTGCATGCACGCAGGCACATGCGCTCTCTCTCTCAAAAAACAAAAATGAGGGAGATCTTTGTGTATTAACTTGAGAAATTATTCATAATGTTTCACATTAAAAAGAGAAAAAAACAAGTTGCTATATAATATTAATACCATTATCTCATTTCTTTGAAGAAAAAAAAAACACAGAACAAAATTATATGCATGTCTTGTAGGCACAGAGAGAAACATCTGAGATGACACACACCCCAGGAGTGGAAGTAAAAGAGAAAGAGGAGAAAGACGTTTTTTTACTTTCTCTGTATCTGCATCTTTAGAATATTTAGATAAAAGCAAATAATATATTTTTGCTTTAAACAAATATTATGCAAACATATATGCATAAACTACAGCAAACGTCAAACTGGGAGAGATATTTGCAACTTCTATCACAAAGGGCTAATCTCTCCAATATTTAATTTGCTCTCAGAAACTAATATGACAAAGGCCAATAACCCAATAGAAAAACCCGGCCAAGTGCTCAGTTCACAGAAAAAGAAATACAAATAGTCCTTAAACATATAGAAAGTTGCTCAATCTCATTCACAAGAGAAATACAAACAAACACTGAGATACTGTTTTTCGGTTTGTTTTCTTTTTTTAACTGTCTTGCGAAGATCCAAAAACTGGTAGAAAAGCAGGTGCTCATCTACCTTGCTGGTGGGCATGTGAACTAGGGGAGCCCCACCGAAAGGCAATTTGGCAAGATCTATCAGTCGGCCACACTACCCTCCTTGACAATGAAATCTCACAGCTATACCTTCAGGAGTGTGACATGATGGATATAAAGGCTATTATTCACTGCAGCCTGACTAATGACAGCAAAAGGTAGGGGAGACCCTCCATGTCCTCCAATGGGGGAAATGGTCAAATGTACCACGTTCACCCAAACAGTGCAACACCACGAACACGCTCTATCATTCGGACATGCACACCGTTAGACTGAAAAGGACGAGCTCAGAACGATGTGCAGCGTGTGCTAATATTAATGTACGAATGGGAAAGGGCTTAAGAATCTGTATTTCCCATTTGTTTGTAGAGTCTCAAAAATATTCTGAAATCCAACATAAAAAGTTAACAGCAGTCAAGTTCACGGAGAGGTCAGGTGGGTGAAATGGGCAGAAGGAAGCCTTTCCCCGTATCGTTTTTTAAACCATGTGGATATGTTGCCTACTCAATATATTAAATTAAAAAACAGAACTATTTGAACATTAAAAAAAAAAACAAAACACGAATAACACTGTGCTGGTTGACGGACATGAAATCTGAGCTGAATTTCCTTGCCAAGGGCAGTGTGAACGTAAGGCAGCTTGTCCTCTCCTCCCACCCCAAAACCCCACACCACACAGGGCTCTGCAGGCCAGGCTGGAAAGTCCCTCAATGCGCCTCACATTTTTCTCCCAGTGCACCCTTTGGCCATGCTCGGCATAGTGACAAAGACAAACAATCACGGACCTAAGGGCCTGAACTATGACCCAGGACGCTTAGCTGCATCATCCCTTCTGAAAAGTAGCTGGATCTGCTGGGGTCACAGGCTGTTTGGTTTCCCAGGGACACCCACACTGCATTTCTGATCCTGCCACTGAGAACAGTTTCCCACACAGCAGCTGACTGAACATCTGTGCAAACCTCCCAGATGTTCAGGCCCGAATCCTGCCGTCCTGTGGGGCGTGCTGCCCCGGGTGCGGAGCCTGACTCACCAGGGATGTGGCTGCCCATGTACTTGATGTGCATCTCATGCAGCCCGACCTCAGTGGGGGCATATCTGACTGTGACCGTGCCGTCCTTGTTGTCCACAATCTCAGGTGTGGCTGTCTTCCCAGAAGGCATGTGGACCTCTCCTGTTGGAGCACAGGGAGACAGGGCGATGAGGCCCCCTCCCAGGGACTTCCCCGGGAGAAGCTGAGTGCAAAGGCTCAGGTGGCCTTCAGATCCAAGGGCACTCACTGCTGCCTGAAGCATCCAAGACCCACAACAGGAAAACAGAGGTATGTTTGCCTTTATTTTGTTCCCTTCTTCTTCCACAAAATGCAGCAGGCAACTCAAGTAAAAAGTTTTCTACTTTTGTACTGACAAGTGAGAAGCTCAAACTAGACTAGAAAAGACCATGAGCCAGCAGCATTAGCAGAGTGTCAGCTCAAAGAGATATGGGCATTAAAAGGAGGCTGGAGGAAAAAGGAACTCTTGTACAAGAGACTTCAGTGTGAATGTCACCTCTGGAAAGGTGCGAGAATAAGACAAGGCAGGAAAAAAGGAGGGACAGGAACCTGACAGTCAAGAGCTATCTAAATAGAGCAGTCCTTAACCTGGAGAGAATCCCCGGCCTTAACCTGGACAGAATGTAACACAAGTAAGTCATAAATGAGCCACCCCCTTCAGAGACAGACATATATACAGTGAACAGTCTGCAATCTCAGGGGCTCATGGATGCCAGGTGTCGGGCACAGGTGGAACCACCTCCCAGGCACCGTTCTAGAAAGCTAGGGCAATCCAGGGAGAACAAGGCAGCTTTCAAGAATGTGCTTACCAGTGATTTCCCCTTTCCTGACCGCAAATGGAATGACCAAGTCGAAAGGCTTGAACCCCAGGCCGTTCATGTCACTCACGGGGACATAGGCCTCTTCGGTCACCTAAAAACAGGAAAGAGTCATAACTGGGTAAAGCAGACAACGGTGTGGGCCGAAGAACAACAGAGGGCAGAGCAGCTGGGAATTCTGCAAGCTAGTGCCACTGGGATCTGGGGATGTGGCTGCCATCCATGCAGAGCGGCCTCTGTCTAACCGGCCCCAGGGCCGGCGCAGAACCTGAAGGATTGAAGAAGTCACGCTGACCAATTGCTAACAATCACTAGGCACTTTGCTTGCAGCATTCCCAGCGGTGCTCATGGGAAAGTGGAAAAGTGAGAGAGAGCAATGTCTGTGAGTCCCAAGAGGCTCCACCTGGAAAGGTTTAGTTGCTTGTGGCCTGGAAAAGAAGGTGCATTTTAAGTGGCAGAAAGTAGCAGCAGGTGGCTTTCCCCCCGAACAGAAACCAAGTGTGCAAGGGGCAGCTGAGAGTGTCAGCAGGAGGGCTGAGGACAGTCCGTGTTTCTCTGAACCGCGGGGACAAACGACACTGAGCGTGATCACAACATGACGGCTGGAGATTCGTGGAGTGCATACGATGACATGGGTGGCTCTCATTACAGAGGAAGCGGGGATCATTGTGACGGACTGATCAGTGGGGGGCAAACCAATGACCAGGACACCCAGGGGGCTTAAGCAATCCCCAGAAAGCAGGCTGTAGCTTTTCTGAAATGAAGGCTGAGTAAACACAGAAATGCCAAAAAGGAAAAAAAAAAAAAAAAGTGTACCCAGGGCCTGAATCCGGGGGAACATGCATTTACCGGTGCCTCCTCCACAGCCTCGACTTCCCCATCCGTGGCCTGGTCGGTGGCAAATGGAGATTAGTTGGGAATCACATGGAAGGGACGCTGCCACTTTAGTAGGTCCTACAACCTGAGGGCTGCTTCCTCCCCATCTGCTCCATCTCGTACAGCAGGGAGCCAATCACTCTAGCGGCAGTCTACACTCTTCCCCCTCTTGTGGAGAGCGAGCTGGCATCCTTCCTTCAAATGTCAAATCCACATGCCCTTTGAACCTGCAACCCCACTTCCAGGAAGCGGGCCTACAGAAATGCTAGCCAGAGTGTCTACAGCTAAGTGATACGTGCAGGGGATTTTACTCTGGCCGTTTGTGGTCATGAGAACTTGGAGGTGCCTAAAATGTCCATCTGCCTGGGAGTCCATTAATTATGCAAACCTGTACTCTTGGAAAAGCTACCAAGTCTGATGAATGAATGGGGAAGGGTACCTATGACACACGGAGGGACCGAGACGAGTCGCAAAGCACTGGGTAGGACTCAATCCCATGCACAAAGCTGATGGGTTTGTTGTGCCAACAGGGAAAAAGGAACGCCAGTCCCTTCTGCGGCACGGAACTGGGAAAGTGGTCTCCTGTTATTTGATGAGTGTCTCTGGTATTAATGTTTTAAAAGTCTTTATAAATTCATTTTCTTAAAAACCACAGACTTCATGTTCCTGATCTGATCAACCTGATAAGGGAGGGATCCGCCTCTTCTACCATAATCAACAAGAACTGGAAGGCCCTCCCCGCTTGGAGGAAGGTCAACATGCCTGCTTTACTCCTTTTTGTGTATTTTAGCATCTGCAGAAAGGGGGCTTCACATAGAAAGGCAGCTTTGTGAGCTTCACCCTTTGGAACAGCCCTATCCCCGCCTCCTAGGGCTCTCTCACAGTGGTGCTATGCAGGGACAAACTGGTTGGGAGGAAGATCTTTCAACGGCCACGCTATGGCCTATGATCCAGGACTTCTCAATGGGGATGAGCAGATACACTGCTAGACCCGTGACTGAATGATCTATTAAGCTGAATCAGCCTGCTGGGGCTCCTTGAGACATGAGCTCTGGAGACTTGTGGCCCCAAGTCTGTAGAGGGAGGCAAGGAATCCACATGCAGACAAAGTCCACCTAGGTAAGACTGGAGAGAGCTTGGAACGGGGGAATAAAGACCCAAGCCAGGTACTATGGGTGACCACCCCCCCTTTTTGCCTTCAGTAGTGGTTAGGATATCTGCACAATGTATCCTAGTAATCCAGGGCTGAGGGGACATTTATTCCCAGTGAGTCTGGTGGCACCCACTTCAGGTCCCTGACTCAGCAGCTAAAATGACCCTTGAATTTCCACACTGACTTTTCTCACTTGGCCGCGCCTAACCCATCCTCAACTCGCTGCACCAGCAAGGCCATGACCTCTGCCCAGGAGCTGCTCTTCCATGCTGCCCTATTTCAATCAACCTGATAAAACCGCTACAGACTAAAACAGATTCTTAAAAACAATAACTGGGACCCGTCTCGGTAAATAAGAATGACAGAAACTCTCTAGCTGCATTTCTTTCTGCCCTGAAGGAGAAAAACACTCCCAAATGAACAATGTCAAAGTCACAGGCGCTTACATCCTTGAGATAAAAAAGAGCCTCCAGATCTCTGGCAGAATGTTTATAGATAAACAAACATCTATGGAAAGGGAAAAAAAGCTACAACCGATGACAGACTGTTTAGAAGGAAGGCACCGCCTTCTGTTTGGGAGGGAGTCCCTTCTCTGTTGCTGCATAAAGTGCAAACATTAGAATGGCTTCGCAGGCTGTGCATGGGGCTAGGTCACTGAGGCCTAAGGACTTTGTGGTCAAGCACAGCTGCTGCCCATGGCACCAAAGGACGCCGGGTAAGAGGCACTCGGTGGCTGTCCAGAGCAGGCACGCTGGGCTCCGTGACCTTGAGTCTGAGCCTTGTTCCTACACACCACCGGCAAAAGGGCCAACAATGCTTGGTTTTAAGGGTCAAATGAGGTTTCTAATCTTGTCCTGATTGAAGAACCTTCATATAATTAGAGGAGGGTCCAAGAGTCACTTGTTGAAAACTAAGGAGCCTCACCATTCTGGCCCATAGTGGTGTCCCTTTCTTCTAGGTGTTCCTATTCAAAAGACATGCCATTCCCTAGGCCTATGCAAAATCTGAATCTTTCCAAAACAAAACTGGAGGCACTTTGTGTCCTGGGATATGGGTCAAGTCTCCAGACATAACAGCATCAGGAACCTCTCTCCTACAGGCTGTGGAGATGAGGAAGGAGGAAGAGCTAGAAGAATAAAAAACGTGTGTCTTACTTACACACATTTTTTGGTCCGAGTGTATCTTTCTGAACTGGGCTTTGGCCAGAACATTGCTTAAGACCCTTAGCCTGACGGATACTTCGATGGCCAGTAAGATTCCTTAAAAACACTAACAGCCAAGAGTCTCTGGATTTCTAGAGATTACTCTAGCACTCTACAAGGTCATGACTGCTTAAGAAAAAATTTTTAAAGGAAAAAAAAAAAGTGGGAGGGGATGTTCTAGCCAGGATTTAACAGATGGCAGCTGTACGGTTTCTGTCATACCAGAGCGCTCTAGGGAAGGAATTTTCCTTACCATGACCGTGAAGGGGCTGTTGGGAATATCGACGCCGCCAAAGCGCACGTAGATGACATAGGTGCCCGGCTTGGCGGCCGTGTAGAAGATGTCATAGGTGCCATCCTCATTCTCGATGACGTCGGCCTCAGCCTCAGTGCCGTCGGGGGTCAGAACCGTGCAGGTCACCTTCCCTTTCCCAGCAGTCTTGGCATCCACCACAAAGCCCACTTCCTCGCCGGTTTTCACGGTGGAGGCAATTCCAGGACCTGGAGAACAAATTCAGGAGAAGAGAATGGAAGCTCCAGCCTCGGACAACCGCCCCGGGGGCCCCAGCACGAAGCACACGCTGGTGCGGTCTGCATCTGTCAACGCCAGACCTCTGACAACCGCCACACACATGGCGGTCCCGGAGATCCCCGGGGGGAAAGTGCTGCTCCCGGGGCTGCTCCATCCCTTACTTAGGAAACAAGCTCTGAGTGTCAACCACGTGTCGGACCCGGCTTGCCGGCATTCAAGGGTCTGAGGATGATGGTCAACTTCCCTAAGCAAACACACAGTGGGCATTTCCTTGAGGGCCAGGTACACACAAGAGTGAACCAAACACAGTCTCTGCTGTGGACATGTTCATAATCTAACAGGCAGGCCAGGCACCAAGAACCACAGCTCGATGTGCTGTGGGAACACTCAGGTACAGAGAAAAGCATCAGCCGTGCTTCAGAGAAATGTCTCGTGGAACAGCTCCATGAAGGAAATTCTAGGAATTTGTATCCCAGCATTGCCACCTTGATGGAGGGCTTTTTGAGAAAAGGGGAATGGCTGAATTCTGAAGCACAGGTACAGTTGGCTAGGGGAGACTTACCACCTCTGTCCCTGAACCCTGAACAGTCTGTCTGACTGGGGGCACCCTTTACACAGGATCCACACATCAGGGAGTGCAGACAAGTGAACCAAAAGCATATTGGCAAAAAAAAAAAAGAGCAAAGTGTGTAGAAGCAATAGGGAGTGCTAAGAACATGCTGTTCAGAGTGGGAGTAGTAGAAGGGAGCCTGGGGCCAGCCTGTGGAAGGCCCTTCTGAAGGACAGACAGAGAACTGTGGCCTCCAGGAGCCCCCAGGCTGAGAGAGTATCCTGCTCAGCATTCTGCCCCAGCAAGAGAGGGAATAGGGCCTGGAGAGCAAGGAGTAAGTCCCTGCCCGGTATTATCATGCCCGCAGGTTAGTAAAGGCAATTTAATTGTTCCTGGCAGATAGTACAGACCCAGGAGGTGGTGGATAGTATTGGCCGGTGGTTCAAAATTTCTCAATGTTTGAGCCCCAAACTGGCCAAGCTGAGCAATTTACAACTTGCTCTGAAAGCCAAAAGTTTTTCCTCCATTCAGAACAAGATATGAGAAATAGAACACATCCAGGGTGGACCTATGTTTAATTTAAAGAGAAACAAATCTGTTTCATTTCAGAGATGGGGATTCATGTTTTGGCATCTGCTGGAATAGCATCAGAATAACAAGAGCTGTTCTTAGAAACGGATGGGCCCGTGACGGGCTTAGTCATGTCTCAGAAACTGAAGGAAGTGTGATGTTCAAATATTTCTGGAGATATTCTGAGAGTTGTAGGCATAGTCTCGAGTACTAAGGAAAAACCTAGATCCTTGAATGCGTTTCTCTAATGTTGACCTGAAATGCTCTTGAATAAAATCTTGAGTAATTAAACCATCTACTCAGGAAAGGCATACATTTGCAGCTTTTCATGGGATCTACCACCACAGCAGAGATCTTAACAAAGGCAGCCACTTCAAAAGTAACATAATAATAGCTTCCCTGTGCCTGGCACTGTGCTAAGCATTTCTCATGCCTGACCTCATCTAATCTTTGCAATAACCCTGTGAAACAGTCTCTGATCCTGAGAAGAGTTTCTTGAATTCAAATGTTCTCAGAAAGATCTTCCATCTAAGTATGACTGAAGCTCAGAGTGGTTGAGCAACTTGCCCTAATCATCACACAGCCACTGAGTGGCAGAGAAGGGTTAGCCCCTGGCTTTCTGACCCCAAAGCCCACACTCACCGGTGGCCAGGCACTTGCTGGCATCTCCCGTCTGTGTGGCCCGGATGCGGTAGGGGGACAATGGGATGTCATCCCCCCCATAGGTGACCCCAATCATATAGCGTCCAGTCTTGTCAGGGATGTAGGTGACGGCGTACGTGCCATCCTCATTGTCGTGGACAATGGCTCTTTTGGGTTTTCCCTCTTGGTCCTGTGAATCACAGAGAAATGCTATTTAGGATGTTGTCATCAAGATGTAGAAACCAGTCATGGGAAACCGAGACACATTTTGCTTATTAACTGGTGCCTCTATTCAGGAGACAGAATTAATGGCTTAATATAATCTTAATTATCATCTTTTTTGGGGGGGAGGCAGGGAGGGGAGAAGGTCACACCATATGGACATGGTCAATTTTTAGGAATTTTACGGTCAAGTGAACAAGAGCTGATTCAGCTCCGGACCCAATGAAATGTAGGGAGATGAGGGGACTGAGGTTCCTGGTCCTGCATCACCACATCCACTCTCTCTCTTCTCTTTAGTTAAAGGCTCCTAATTGTTGGCTGGGTGCACTGCTCCCACTTGCTAGCAAACTCTGCTGCTAGGTATGGCCATGGGACTTGTGACAAAGTTCCAGTAAAGGAGAGGGAAGTGGGAGTCACACAGAGCGGCTCGAGATTACTGATTGAGCTGAAGGTCCCCCTTTCCCCTTCTGCCTTTCCTCCTCCTTGTGGCCTGCCAGGTGCATCTGCTCATGGTCCACGAGGAGACCTCAGGACAGAAGCCACACGCTAGGACCGAGGAGCATACAGATGGAGCTGGCTTCCCTGCAGAGCCACACAGCACCCAGGCGGCTCGCCTCTGGGCTTCCTTAACCAGAGAGAATAATCCCATGTGTCGGAGCCAGTCTTATTTGAGGGGCTGTTGTGATATGCAGCGCAACCTAGTCTTAACTAATCTGATGAGGAATTTAAAACATTTTAAAACAAAAGCAGAGGAATGGATAGAATAGAGATCAAAGTACATGAGATTCATCCAAACGCGGTACTTGGAGCTACACCTTCAGACCTCTCACTCAGGCAAGCATGTCTGTTCTCTTGCACAATTACCGACTCTCTGGTGGGAAAAAAATCCATCAAACATTTGCATCAGGCCAGAAATTGGTTATTAAAACCTTGTCCTTATCCCTTGCCAGGAAGTTAGGTCTTCATTAATCATATTTGACTCAAGAAAAAAACTCAAAGTTACCGTGATCTGAACAGCAAGCAGGCCTTCCCCAGCATCTCTGGCATCAATTGCAAACTCCACGGGCAGACTGGCAGGCACACCATAGGAACTGAGGCCGGGGCCACTGGCAGTCACTTTGCTGGCATCGTATGTGGGAAGGACCTTGACCTTGAAGGGACTTGAAAGACACATACAAAGTGTCGATACCGTCAACCCAGCTACATCTGATCTCCCTTACACAAAGAGACTGGGCTCAGAGAGGGCGGATTTCTATAGCAGACAAACAGCGAGTGCCTTACATACCTTAAATCTAGCAGAAATTTACACGCACGTAACCATCGTATGCTTTCCCTGAGTGTATTTCATGGGATACACACTAATCCCCAACTTGGTTTGGGAGACACAGTTAACTTACTTTTGTTAGGCTAAGAAAATGGTCACCAAGATGGGAACGGAATATTGGAATTAGGAAACAATGTTGGAATAATAAAATTAATATCTTATCCTCTTCTTTTCTATTTTTAGTACGCTTTAGATGGTGAACTACCTATTAGCAAAGTAATACATAAATGTAATTTATATATTTCTACATACCTAGAGCTATATGTATATCTCTATATAAAATACATATTAGAGGGGCACCTGGGTGGCTCAGTTGTTAAGTGTCTGCCTTCAGCTCAGGTCATGATCCCAGAGTCCTGGGATCGAGCCCTGCATCGAGCTCTCTGCTCCACAGGAAGCCTGCTTCTCCCTCACCCACTCCCCCTGCTTGTGTTCCCTCTCTCACTGTGTCTCTCTCTGTCAAATAAATAAATAAAATCTTTAAAAAAATTTAAAAAAATAAAAAAAAATACATATTAGGTGTATGGGTCAATTTTTTTCATCTTAAGGTGTATGAAAAGAACCCTTTGGAGGCTGTTCTGACAGAGGGAAGAGCATATGCAACATTTCATATTAATATGAATGAGTAACGAGGCTTCTATCCAATACCCTCTGGGAACACTATTGTCAACCAAATCTTCAAGTAAAGAGTAAAAAAGTAAAAATCTTCACCCTAATCAAAGAACTACTTGTAAGGTCACCAGAAAGAAGACTTTGATGAACTAACACATTCCTTGTTTCTCCAAAGATTCCCAACTCCTTCATTTCAGCTCATCTTTAAATTAAAGATGGCCAAAAGGAACAAAGTAGGGGGATACAGGATACCAAGAGAGGAGCAGCCACAGATATCAAGGCTAGTGTGTTGTAACACCTGGGCACAGATAGCATGCAGGTTCTCATTGATACCTGCTGATGAGGAAAATGGATGGGTAGATGGATGGGTGGATGGATGGGTAGACAGATGGGTGGGTGGATGGGTGGATGGGTGGGTGGATGGGTGGGTGGTGGTTGGATGGATGGATGGTTGGATAGACGGATAGGTGGATGCATGGGTAGGTGGATGGGTAGATGGATGGATGGATGGATGGATGGATGGGTGGATTGCTGGGTGGGTGGACAGATGGATAAATGAATGGATAAACAGATCACCAGGACAGTGCTGGTCAATCCCACAGAGGGGTGGGCTTCAGGCTGGTTTGTCAGGAGCTTACCTACGAGGGATCTCTTCATCAGCATATTTAACTGAGACCATGTAAGGCCCCTCCTGGGATGGGGTGTAGGTCACTGTATGTGTGCCATCCCCATTGTCCACTATGTTCACCGGCTCCACCAGGCCTGAGAACAGAAATGAGAGGTCTGAGAACTGCTTAGACTCTCCTTCACTCCACCCTGGGCTGAGTTTGAAACAGGAGCACATTCAATCCCAAGAGCTATTGTCTTCCACTGATGAGAAACATAAAGGTAGGCAGCCCATAATCAGAGGCCCGAGAAATCACAGGAGACAGGATCCCTAATTCATGGTTGCAGAAATGACCCCAAGAAACACCTTTAGCTTTCTGTTGGCTAAAGTACACTCTGTCAGCCCTTGAGTATAATTAAGGAGACTGCCCTTGCTTGTGTGAAGACACGTGTTGCAGGCATGCTATCCCCTTTCAAGCTGGTGAGGCATGCTTGGGATGTGGCAATTTTACTTTATAGCTGAGGAAGGGCCAAAGAGTCCACCACTCTGAACAGCAAAAGTTAACCGATGGGGGGCTGGCCAATCAAACTTATGGCCACCGTTGAGCACAGACCACTATGGCACCAGCAGGCTGGGTGTAGGTGCAGGGCAGGGGAGGGTGCCAATCTCATGGGGTGGAGGGGACTCTTCAAAGTGATGCCTGCAGGGGACGGTTAAAGAATGTGTTAAAGCATAATCAAGGCATGCATTGGGTTGGTAGATTCCAGATCCTGCTTCTGAACTTGAGCATCAAGGATGGGTCAACTGCAGGATAGGTTAAGCAAAGCACGGCATACTGATTAAGCAAAGCAGGTGAGGCAGGAACAAGGGAATTTCAGGGGTGAGGCCAGCAAGAGGCATTCAGGTCACATAAATTAGAGCAGCAGCCAATAGGAAATTGCAAACCTGTCTCCGTAAAGTCACCCTTCGGGTCACCTTTAAAGAACTCTGAAATGGCTTTCAAGGGGCTGCGCCATGACTGGGAATCCGTCTCATCAGCTAAAATTAAAAGGCGGTTACTTCCGAGTCCTCCATAATAATAAAATAGAGGTAGATAGCTAAGTAAAGCCGCCCTCCCTCCCTCCCTCTCTCTTTCTCTCTCACACACACACACAGGTCCTAAAACTCAGTAACTATGCAGAATCAGATTCCAGCCCCATGACCTCATTTCCCTCAAACCACATCTGCCCTGAGCTTCAAAGGGCATAACCTCCTGCTGAACCCCATTAAGTAGAAAGTTCCTCTTCAAAGAAGGAAGCCCCCATTTGCCACTTCTGTAAAGCCACGAACACATCACTAGGGAAACATCCAGATAATTTAAGAAATTAGGGAGAGAATGGCACATTTTCAATGCCGGAAGAGGAAATGTGATTGCCTACCAAATAAGGTAAATTTCAATGCACTTCAGGGCTTTGTCCCAAAATGGCCTGCTAGTCAAACCAAACCCCAGTTCCAGGCTGCCAACAGGGCAGGCCAAATTGTCGACAAAGGCCATCCCCAAGAGACCCTCTCCCTCCAGGAAGTTGGGACAATGACAAAGCCATGTGTCATATGGGCTGCATATCTGTCATTTCCAGATATTTGGGGTGTGTTCCACATGGGCACCAAGGCACCTCAAAGAGAGTTATCACCTCCAAACCCATCGTCCACCCAAATTCCAGACCAACCCCAGTCACCTCACCAATGTTGAGACATACATGTGAGAGCCCAAATACTACTTGCTTCATCTCACTACTTAAGAAAAATAAAAATTTGGGCGCCTGGGTGGCTCAGTCGTTAAGCGTCTGCCTTCAGCTCAGGTCATGGTCCCAGGGTCCTGGGATCGAGCCCCACATCAGGCTCCCTGCT